TGGCAAGTGGTTGAGGTAGGAGAGAAAGAGGCAGGGAGGGGGCTGGATTCACTCCTCTGTTGGGAAGCAGAGGCCTCGAGGAAAGAATAATGTGGAATTATGCAATTCAGATTATTATCAGTAATGGTAGAGGTATAGAAATGTCTAACTAAATTAGACCACATTATTCCCAATGGCAGGCTTTTATACATTGAGACCCACAGCCTTCTCATGATTGTGGTGTCCAAAGCTCACTGCAACGTGTGTACAATTCAGATCATCCTTCTACTCCCTCCCCTCCAAATTTGTATCTGCTGGCACTTTCTTGGCCTTGGCCAAAACAGACACAAGGAAGGGGGAGGAGGGAAGAGGAAAACAGCGATGCAGCTGTTGGTGTTTGTTGGATGGTAGATTTTTTAACAAGGAAGTTATTGTGCATACCTGGTAGGGCCTGTTCTGCCAACCAAGGCCATTGAGCTGTTATGGTTTCTCTTCAACAAAGAACTAAGACTTGAAATGAGATACCAGAGGGTAGAGTGGTCTGTGTACAGACAGACATCAGGTGAGCTTTTGTCATCAGCTGCCATTGAGTCTAAAGGCTCTTCATGGTGAATGGGCACCATATCAAAGTTATTCAACCCTGGAAATGAGGGAAGAAATGTTGGAAATTCTTTGCCTACTTTAGACAGTATGAAACAAGAAATTGGAAAATAAGGAAGTGGACTAAAGGAAAAAAGCTTCAGAAACCCTACAGATCATCTATTTTGAAATCAGTTACAGATACAGATAATGGAAGTCAACTTCAGAAGAAGAGAAAGTCTCTAGAGAAATGATACTAGAATCCAATCACCATTTAAAATACACGTTTTCTGCCCTTTGTGTAGCGTGCGAGAAAAGGCATTCAGAAAAAGAGAAGCCAAAGTGATTTAGAATAAAATAAGCTCACTCTGAATTAAGAAATTAACTTTCATTATTCAATACAAATTTGAAAAGACAAAGAAACTTGTCAGACTGAATTAAATGAGGAGCTCACAGCATTGTAGATGACTCATCGTAGTTCAAGAAATTTATAACAGTGTAGAGGAAAACGTAGAGAGCAGATGGTGCAAAGAATCCTCAGGACAAAACAGAGATCAGCACTGAGCTCAAGAGCCAGAAACCATCCTTCAGCCTAGTACCAATGGCAAGAAAATGCTGCCATTAAAGTGATTAAAAGCCATGCTGCGCTTCCAAGCATTTTTTTTTTCAAATGGTTTCATTGGGTAACCAAATTAGAGCTCTCCTGCAGCTACTGGATTTGAAACAACTAATTAAAAGAACTTCCCATTGATTCATCATAGGAACATTAGAGCAGTCTTTATAAATGGGCAAATAGGATTTACCTGTCTTACAATTTTCTGGTTAAAAAGAGCTTTAACAATAAATGGATAGGATCTTTAGGGTCTAAATAACTTCTGCTCGAGTGAGCAACTGTTACAAGAAGCTACAATTTCTCCATAGAAAGTATTGCTTTTAGTAACACTCCACAACAACTAAAGAAATAGAGATTGAGCTAGCTGCAGCTTTTAATGACTTAGGTTTATTTGTCCCTTTCTTTGTACAATACATTTCTGACTGGAATCCTTTTCCTAAAAGTTATTGTTTCCTCCGAGGTGTAAGTAAATAACCTCTGTATGACAAATCCTTCTGAACATATTGGAAATGGTTAAAGGTGACTCTTTTGTTAATGGTGACTCTTTTGTGACTTTTTGTTTAAAAGTACACCTTTTTTTTTTGCTCAATACCCTAATACAAACACAATTAGGCTTCTCATATTCTCAGCCTTGCGTACACACCTTCACATTTGGATTTAGAGGGTGCAGTGCTGGTGCAGTGCTACACCCGTGATGTGGCTGTGTGGGGTTTTCAGTCTCAAGCACAAGTCAAGCACAGCTGGCTTAGGAGAGGGCTGAAATAATTTTCTTTACATTATGTTGCTACTGAGTCGTTTCCCAGGGAGAAGACATGGTCTACTTCTTACACTGAACATGTGAGATGATCTTCTTTTGCACCAGGACTGTATTTTGACATGGGCTTGCTCAAGTGGAAGAGTTCCTGTGGTGAGCTCAGGCTGCAAACACACGTAAATCACTGTATAAATTTGGAAATTAGAACTCAAAAAAAAAATGCACCACATGTGGTACATATGAAAAGGTTATAAAAGTTAGGTCATAATGTGAAGAAGTGTAATAGTAATAATCTATGTTTAAAAAACCTAGAAGGGCCAAGAATATCATTATATCCACATTTTAGCCTGATGTTTTCTGTAATCAAGCTCCATCATTTTGCAAGGATTTGGTTATCTAACCAGTGAACCCTCAAACGCGGTGAGGTGAAGCCACGGTGTGCTGGGGAAGGTGGCCCAGCCGATGTCCCTCACGCATGAGCAGGCACACAAGGTGTATCAGACGTATCTGAAAGGCTGCTATATCTTGCTCAGATACGCACAGAAATCACAGCTCAATACCAGTGAATCACTCAAAACCAGCAAATAAAGTAAAAAAATAGAATCACAGAATGTTGTGAGTGGGAAGGGACCCCTAGGGATCATCAAGTCCAACTCCTGTCCCTGCACAGGACAAGCCCAACATTCACACCATGTCCCTGAGGGCACATGTTGGCCAAATGCTTCTGGCATCTTGTCAGGCTTGGTGCCATGAGCCCCTCCCTGGGGAGCCTGTTCCAGTGCTCCACCACCCTCTGCCTCAAGAACCTTTTCCTCACGGCCAACCTCACCCTCCCCTGCCACATCTTCCTGCCATTTCCTCTGCTCCTGGCATTCGTTGGTGGCCAGAGAGAAGAGATCAGCGCCTGCCCCTCCTCTTCCCCTTGGGAGGAAGTTCTAGACCACGATGAGATCTCCTCTCAGTCTCCTCTTCTCCAGGCTGAACAATCCAAGCGAGTTCAGGCTCTCCTCATACAGCTTCCCCTCTGAACCCTTCACCAATTTAGTGGCCAATGTATATGTTGCCCTCACAGACCCATGATAAACAGACCTGTCTTTGTTCCCTGCTTGGAGCAACTGGTTTTACCTCAGAGAAGTATTGCAAGAGCTCAGCTTCACCCTCCATTTCAAGAGTAAAAATTTAATTTTAACATATCCAGGGAAAGCATTTTGCACTGGAACCTATGAATGCTTTTTATTTATTTGTATTTTGTTCTAGTCAGTTACTTATAATTATGCTGTTTAAGGACTTCCTGAAAAGTAGGTTAATCCTTTATTCAGCGTGGCAGGAATTCTTTTTTTCTTCCATTCCCTTGCATCAGCCCTGTGGTTACAATGGCATAAGTACAGATGTAGCACAGTTTCCTGCCTAAGCTCTGTTTTCTTCACTTAATACTTTTGGTCTTTTCTTTTTTCATTTAGAGTTACATGTTGGGTTGTTGGTTTTGTCTTTATCGGAGAGGACTAGATTATCATACCACAGAATAGTTGTCAGCAGGGAAGATTGACAGTGGATGAAAGTTTATTTTCTCTGTCAGAAATACGCAGTGTCACAGAGAAAGAGATTGTTACGTGCACATCTGTGTGTAGAGTTTCCCCCTTTCAAAAGAAAACAGCCAGTTTAGGTTTTTTTACTGTTTGTTTGCATTCTAGAATTTATTTATTGGTTTTGTTTCTTAAATTTCTTGAAATATTTACAGGAAAGATAAGGTGTGAAATTTTGTGACTTTAAACAGATCTTCCTGAAATATTTACAGGAAAGATAACTAAGGTGTGAAATTTTGTGACTTTAAACAGATTCTTATTTCATTTTCCTAAGGAGACTCTTTCATTCAAAAGATAAGAGCAGAAGTCATGAAATTGTTTTCTTTTTAGGAGACAGCTTCTTGGAAGCTTAGAAGAGTTTAAGTAAGATTCATAATAGAGAGGAATGAGGAAGGGTGTGTAATAAATTGATATTTGTTAGTGGAAAGACAAATAACAAAAGCTGCGAACCACTGGAAGAACTTTTTTTTTAATGGTAGCTGGTTTTTTTCAGCTTTCTGCGTTGTCTTCAGGACAGTTGAACAACATGACTGATTTTTGTTGTAAAGTTTGGGGAAGCTGCACATCAATACTATTAAAACAACATTAGTGTCTGGGGAATATTTTACCTCCTTTGACATGCTTGACCAGATTTATAAAATTGTCAGAGATCATTTTCTACAATGCAGTTTTTGCACCATTTGCAATTATTGTATAGATAACAGCGCACCTTCTTTTCCAAAAGGGCAGAAAATCCAATTTTTTAAATAAATTAACCCCATAGTGAGATCTAATTTGGCTCTTGGGTGCACCCACCCATGTTGGACCCCTTCCAAAAGTTGCTGAAAGCAGTTCATACTGCCTGTGCCACCACAGAGCTGCAGTATCAGCTCCAACAGGTAGGTTTGGGAGCACTTTTACCCCCACAGTTTGCCTGTAACCCACTCCCTGCCCCTGACCTCCTGTGACAGGTCGGCTTTTCCACGCACACCACTACCTCACTGATGGGCTAAAGTGTCCTTGCTGCTGCCAGCCCAGCTAGCAGGAACAGGATTCATTGCGTCTGTTTTAAGCTGTCACTTTAGTTTACCACAAAGAGTTAATTGAATGTACATTTTACACAGTTGAATTATGATATTTAATGCAGATTATCTTGAATGTAGAATTTACTGTCTCTGAAGCACGGTTCTGCTCTGGACACGATGTCCTCAGAGCAAGCAGCGCAAACTGGTTGCACGCAGGCGACGGTGGGGACTGGCACTGGCATTTTTTATTCTGTTTTTATATCTAGCCATTTTTCAGAAGCTGGTCTGCACTTTAACAAAGGAGTTACCGGTATGTACTTGAGACATTAATTCCAGGTTATATGGTTTCCCTGAGAATTGCCATCTGTCATGCTTTTCTGCCTGGAGGTCACTCAAAGTTACCTCGGGTTGGTATCCTAAGACAGTAGGTTTAAAAGGATAAACCGTGTGCTTCGTCTTTAACCCTTAGTTATCCTTTTCCCTTTCAGCACCCTCCTTGATAGGTATGGTAAGGAAGGACTGGGCTTCCCAAAACAGCATTGCCCTCTCCTGGCAAGAGCCGGACTTTCCCCATGGAGCCATTCTGGACTACGAGATCAAGTACTATGAGAAAGTAGGTCTCACTTAACAGCATCACCCAAACTCAGATCCTAAAGAGCAGTATGTTTCATATTTTTAATAGTTAAAAAAAAAATACTTTAAACTTTTCACTTGATCCCACGTGCAACGCTATGTAAGTAGATGTTTTATTTTGTACTGATCTTTTTGTTGTTTTACTTCTGACTTGTTAATAACTGTCTTGTTTCACATCAAAATCGAGTAGAGTAGCAGGCAGGCAGTAGATATACCTGTCTCATAGTAACTACATATACGGACATGGATACATGGATCATATGCTTGAACATACTTTGCTTTATGGGCTGTAAAATCTTTACATTAGAGTGACACTGAAACAATACCATTAAGGTCAATGTCAATGTGATTTAATTTTGCAACGTAATCTGTGCTTAAATGAGAGTGCACCAGCCTTGTTTAGAGGGTTACAAAAGGTTACAAGAGAGGGAAACTGCGTGGTATTCATGTCAAATTTCTGGCATTCTGTCAAAATTATGTGATTTTGCACAAAAGAGGGCAACAACATGCATTACAAATAAAGGTACGAGGTCCGCACACAGCACATCTTGTGAAAGCATAATTTGAAGCCTGCTTCTCCCAAAGCACAAAAAGCATTTTGTCATTCCCAGTTGGCTACAGGGCTGTGCACTTGCAGTGCAAAATCTGGTGCTAATCAGTGCCTTCGTTCCCAGAGACAGAGGCAGGATTTTTTATAGTCACCTACTAAGTCAGTTCTTGCTGTTTCTCTGTCCCCATCTGAAAGTTGCAGTGGAACTAATGGATGTGTTCCATTAGAAAAGACCACAAAGAGCAGAATTATAAGCCAAGTCATGAAAGGAAGATTTAAGGATGTTGGGCTCTGTAAATATCTAAGAATTTTCTTCCTTGGCTGCACTTCTCTATTGAGATTATGCAGCTTTAATGATGCAGAAAAGAAGGTAAACTAGGAAAAAATCCAAACAATTTAAATGGCACAGTTAGAGGGATAAGACAGATTGCTTATGGTATTTGGTATTTTAGTATGAATTTACCACAAAGACATCCCTCTACTGGAGAGTAAAATATTCATCTAAAATTCAAGAACAAGTTGAGTATGAAAAGCTCAGAAATTTTATTAATGTCTTAAGCAGGCAATAATAATGCAGAGAACAGTATCCTCAGGTACTAATAAACACACTAATTAGTAAAATAGATCTACTTTTGCAGTCTCATTCTTATCCCTTTTTATCTGTCATTTTTGTTTAAAAAAAGAAAAGAGACTTTGTACTTCTGTGGAATACAAGAAATTGAATGTCTCCATCAAATACAAACACTAAATGCCCGAGTTTCAACAGATTGTATCAGTTTCTTAACTTTGTGAAACTCTGAAGAATTCTGCAGGATTTTAAAATTTCACAACTAACAACTGCTATTTCTTATTAGATACCTTGTTGACATTTGCAAAATTGTCAGGATGATATTGGGAAGCATGCTAGGGGAGAACCCTGGCTTTTAATTATAACCAGTAGGAATTCTGTGGCTCATAAATGGAAGTCATATCTCATCATGTGCTCCCAAGGACTCAGAAAGATATGTAAACTTCCAGAAATCAAGTAGCTGTCTGATAGACTACTGTGAGCACTGCACAGAATGGGAGAGTTTCCAGCAATTTTATAAGACAAATTAGTGACCGTGAACCCAGGACACAGAGACACATCTTTCCATGCCTGTCCAGAGCAAGCAGAACAAGAGAGGGAGACTAGACTGTGCTAAGTGTGCAAGACACTTATATTTGCTCTCTTGTGCCATACAAATTGTACACTACTGAAAGATCAAACCCTCTCTATGAAAAATATTCACATCTTCTGAGAAAGACTCTAACAAATAATAGAGAAATAAAGTAGAGAAGGAAAGTTATACAAGGCTATCAGTAAGCTACAAGTATGGAACACATACATTAATTTAAAAATATAATAAAGCAGCTCATTAATTTTTTTTCCTTTAAGGCACCTTCTTCCATATAACCTTCATTTATTTCTTCAATTAATTGCTGCAAAATACTTAACAAAATATTGTTTGGCTTTCTGTCTGTCTCTAAAAATTAAAATCTTGAGGAAATAACAAAACTTTGTTGTGAGCCAATTTTATACGGGTTGTACAGATTTTTAGCTTCTTATTGGGAAATACACTGGTACATATTTATGTGGCTGGCTAACAAGAGGTCACTTTGTACTGCAGCTTTTCAGCTAAAAATGCAGTGAACATAAGCTGACCTAGGGCATAATTAGAGAGGTGATTTGTTCTGTGAGGAGAGGAAAAATCCCTAGACGTTCAGTCCAAGATGCTATGAGTTTCTGTCACAGTAAAGAGAGAAAGTTTTCCATTGCTTGAATTGTTAAGTGGTGTAACCAGAGAGTGAATATCACAATCCTGAAATAATACTGTATGTTGAGGCCTGGTAGTTGAAATATCTTATTGCTGCTAGATTATGAATCATTCTGAAAGCTATACAGTTAGCAACATTTGTCACCTTAGACGATAAGTGAGTCTTTACAGCAACACAGAAACTGAGTCCATTAAATGTTTGACCTTAGATATCTAAGATGTACTCTGAACGGCATTTCTTCATAGACCTTCTTTAGAGTTTTCATAGATACTAAACATTTGCAAATTATCTCTTTTGATACAGGATGTCTACCCTATTCTGCAGTCTGTTATCGATCCATTCTATTTTATAACCCTTTAAAATCTTCCACAAACAGTGCAGTACTTTTAAAAGAAAAAAGTATTTCGTAGGCAGTATTGTCATTCCTTTTAAAAATCAAACTCCAGGTGTCAATATAATCTCAGTTTCCTTCCTAATAGAATCACAGAATCATAAAATAGTTTGGTTGGAAAAGACCATTACAATCATCTAGTCCAACTGTAAAATTAGCATTGCCAAGTTCACCACTAAAGCATGTCCCCAAGTACCACATCTACACGTCCTTTAAATCCCTCCAGGGATGGGGACTCCACCACTTCCCTGGGCAGCCTGTTCCAATACTTGATAACTCTTTAAGAGAAGATTTTTTTCCTAATATCCAACCTAAACCTCCCCTGGTGCAACTTAAGGCCGTTCCCTCTTGTCCTGTCACTTGTTATTTGGGAGAAGAGACCAACACCCACCTCACTACAACCTCCTTTCAGGTAGTTGTAGTAATCAGTTTTTCTTTTATGCTTTAAAACTATTACTCAGACACTGACCAAAGCTTTTACTTTTTGAAAGATTCCAGGGCATCATCACCTGTTTACTTCTCACCAGAAAGGTCGCATGTTGGAGTCAGATGGAGGAGTGGGATAAGATATCGCCTTGTTACAGCCTTGTAATGAAGCTGAGTCCTTCTCTAGGAATTCCTTCCTAGGAGAGGAAACACAGTACACGGTGGATATAAACCATTCCAGTTGCACTTCAGGTTGTGCAGCTGAACTGGAAAATACTTGTCCCTCCCCTTTTCTACCCAAACCCTTAAAGTTAATGGACAAAAATTAATGCTCCCTGAGAGCTGTATTAAGCATACCAAGCGGTATACGTATCAGCAACTGTATTAAGTTTAAGTTCTCCCATGTGGCACAAATATATCAACTGGGTTATATTTTCTGTTACACACAAGATAATATACTTAGCTGAGGAAGACAGTCTATAGAGAAGAGGTTTTAATGGGATGTACCCTAGCAATATCCCAAGGCATTGCAATGACATCTTCAAATAGAGAATATCTTTTTGAGCAGGATGTTGGATGGAGGGGCTGGCTGATGTTTCTTCACTTCTTTGTCTTTTGATGAAATTTACACTAAAGCCAAATCCTTTTGACAAAATATTTCATTTTGTTGGCAGACTCAATTTGCAACTCATGGACAGTTTTCACATAAAAAATTTAACCTATTTCCATATGACAGTGAGTGGACAGAATATGTAGGATGTCAGATATACCTTTTTCTCCATTCCAGTATTATTTAGAGTTGAATTAATATAGAAAAGAGAGAAAATAACTGAGCAGTAGAGGCAAGGGGGAAATTAGTTTTCCAATGAGATTTTTAAAAGAGATGAAGAAGCCAATGAGGCAGAGAGATAGAGGAAAGTACCAGATTTAAAGAATTAGAAAGCAATATGAACTTGTTAATTTTTCTGTCACTCTACAGTATACGTTTTCATTACATTTTCAGCATGTTCTCATAAAAACAAGAGCATTGAGTTATTTGGATGTATAAGAGCTTTTGGATAGTAGTATTGAGCAGACTTTAGTATTTGACCATAGCTGCAGGAACAGATCAGCATGTCACAGCGAGGCACCAAGGCTCCTGGGAAATGAATCATGTCTGGTGAATGTTTTTAAAAAATAATCACTACAAATGTGCTTTGGGAGATAATCATTAAAACAAAATCTCCTAGCTTATTTTAGCATAGTAAATGATGTTAAACAAGCTTTTCAGTTTTTCTATTCTGCTGTTATTAACCTAGTTTCCCAAGGGAAGAACTGTAAAAGCTTTAGATTCAAAAAGAGAAAAAAATAGGTCTCAGAATTGTTGAAAATGAGAGTGAATAATTATGAGACTCTCTGACCAGATATAATTTTTGCCTGCAGGAAAGAACCTAAGGACCTTGCAGCAGCCATTATTAATGACACTGATATAATTACTATTAGGAGAAAAAGAAATCTGGCCTCTAAATATAAATTAGATGCAGCAAAGGGTTTATCAAAGAAGTTCTGAGGTAGGCCTTCTCCATCAGGTGCCCAGTTTGGCTCATCTCCTAATCATTGTCGTCAATTATTTAGAGATAGCTTCTAAACCTTTGTATTTAATAATAAAGTAGCCTACAGAGCTATTACTCTTGTCATTAAAACAAAAAATCTTGATGAGAAATATAATGCTGTCTAAGCAAGCCTAGTGGATTTGATTAAAAAAAAAACAACAAACATAGTTCAGTCTCTGCTGATCTTGTGTTCTGCTCTGTAGCCAATACCATTTTCCCCAAGG